TTACATTTACAGGACTGTACTGTGTTTATCAAAAAAAAAAAGTCCATGCGGGCGCCTGGGTGGCTCAGTCGGTTGAGCGACTGCCTTCGGCTCGGGTCATGGTCCCGGGGTCCTGGGATCGAGCCCCGCATCGGGCTCCCTGCTCAGCGGGAATCCTGCTTCTCCCTCTCCCGCTCCCCCTGCTTGTGTTCCCTCTCTCGCTGTGTCTCTCTCTGTCAAATAAATAAATAAAATCTTAAAAAAAAAAAATCCACACATAAGTGGATCCTTGCAGTTCAGACATGTGTTGTTCCTGTGTTACCTGTAACATCCTGTCCTGAAAACATTACCTGTAACATAATTATGACTTATTTGACAAAAGGAGTTCTGGTAGGAAGTTGAAAGAAGATACCAAGGGCAGAGCCGTAACCTCACCCTGAGGAATAGAATCTGAACATGCCTCGGGAGATATTGAGGTGCCAGGGTGTGTGGTTTCTTGTTCCTGTGATTTTTTATTCAGACTTTTTAGTTTTACAAGTTTTTATTCAGATAATTGTATTATCAGACCTTGATTTCTTTATCTGTATTTTCTTGGCTATAAAGCTTCCTGCCAGTTAAGACATTTTGGAACACCAGCTCCAAATGGGAGGCTCTTTTAACCTTTAATCCTTTTGAAACCTGACATTTTCAACGTGGTAATTATCCGCTGTCCTTTTCCAAAAAAAAGGTAAAATAAATATAAGTCTAAGTCTGACTTACTCAAAGGTCTGTTTTCTGTACTTATTTGATAGATTGAGTAATGTACATTTCTTCTTCTTTTTCCACTGCTGTATATTTTTGTTGATTCAAGAAGCGCTCATGTTATTGAGGATTCAGGTAAATCCTGCATAGTTACTCTATTCAGCCCATATTTCTTGGCCATCCTTCTGTATGAAAGACTTCAGAAATGGGAAGGCATTATAAATTTGCCTTCAGCCCACCTGAGGGACTTTGACAGACTCTCACACTGGTAGGAACACTCTGGTCGTCGAGTCCCCAGAACCAATCTCAAAGCTTAGTCACTCACTAGGAGGATTTACAGAACTTGGGTTGTTTGATTCTCTCGCAGAGTAAAGAAAAAACTAATGAATATAAATAACAGTACTTGCCACAGAAGGAAGTCCAAATATACCCTATTTTTTGAAGTAGGAAATTGACATCAACATGGACACAGATTAATTTGAAAAACCAAACACCGGGGATGCCTGATGGCTCAGTTGGTTAAGAGCTGACTCTTGGTTCCAGTGCAGGTCATGATCTCAGGGTTGTGAGACTGAGTTCCGCGTTGGGCTCCCTGCTCAGCATGGAGTCTTCTTGGGATTCTTTCTCTCTCCCTCTGCCCCTCCCCTGCTCACACACTCTCTCTCTTTTTCTCTAAAATAAATAAATAAAATCTTTAAAAACAAACCAAACACCAGCTTTCAGAAGTCTTTTCTTGAAAGACGCTTGCTCAAGTGCTGCACTTGGGGTCAGCACACAGTAGTTGTCTGTGACATGAAGAGAGAGTGGCCAGGCGAAGCAGGCGGTGCATGGGAAGTCATTACGTCAGCCCTTGTACGCAGCAGGGTGACGGGATGCGCTTCCACCCGCCCCTGGTCTTCTTGTAGAGGAAGACTGTGGTCTTCCCTGTGAGAGAGTTTGGAGGCGATGTGGGCACACGCTGAAGCCTGACTTGTAGGGGTGGGCCGACTGGTGCTTGAGTCCTCACTCTTCAAACACTTGCAGTGTGACCTTGGGTGAATTAACTTTCCTGATCTTTATGTGTAAAATGGGATTACTAACACCAACCTTGAAGAATTACTGTAAAGATTGCAAATAACATATGTGAAAGCATGTACCTCGGCCCTGGTAGTACTCCTTAAATAATAGGCAGCCCCTCTGTTGTCACCTTCATTCTCGTTAGGCTTGTTCTGAGGCTTTACATTGGGGATGATGGTGCTGCCAACTCACAGTGATGCTGTGAGGATTATAGGACATGTTACAGACAAGTCTGCCTGCCAGGGTGCTCAGTATATTTAAGCAATTTTATCCACATATACACACTTAAATGCTCAGTAAAGTGCATATATTTCACAAATGAGAGGCAGTGAATTCCACTGAAAGTCAGTAGGAGATGAAAGGTAGCCAAGAAATGTCTTATAAGAGAAATGAACACTGAGCATATAGAACCCGGAGTCCTAAAAATGCCTGAGCACAGCATCAGTATGTGAATGCGCATGGTGGCTTCAGAGAACGTCCTCTCTGGGGGGGCCGTCAGGGAAATCGGATGGGGTTCGCTGTCTCCTCTTGCAGACACAAGCTGCCACAGGGCTTGCGGTAGGGATGCAGGGAGCCGAGGGTCTGCTGGGGTGGCTTCATGTGGGGTCAGTCCACTCTGCAGGGCGCATCAATCACTTCAGACCATGGGCACAGAGCTCTGAGAGCGAGAGCAGTAGACTGTTGATCTAGGAAAGCAACTCCTAGAGCTTTTAAGTCATGTTCATAATGGGATTTTCTACAGAGATTGTTAAATTATCGTGGCCTCTGTTTGCATTTTTGCAACTAATGTGAATCTGGTTTTGATGAATGAAAGTATACGATTACGTTTTGCCACCTGTGAAAAGTGCTTAAAAATTATAATTAAGCTTTAAGATAATTTTGTTGACTGTGTAATATTCCATTATATATACACACATACCACATCTTCTTTATCCATTCATCTGTTGATGGACATTTAGGCTCTTTCCACAGTTTGGCTATTGTGGACATTGCTGCTGTAAACATTGGGGTGCATGTGCCCCTTCAGATCACTACATTTTTATCTTTGGGGTAATTTTACTCAGCATGTAATTGATATTCTGCTGTGGTCTCTTTGAAGTCCTAACCAAACTATAAACTAAGATCGACTGTTTCAGTCAGAACAACTGTGGTGTTTCTCTAACTCACAGAAATACATGTCTTGATGTATCTCTTGTGCCTTTATTTTTGTGTGCAATAATAAACCTACTTAGGATGCAAAAACTTTGTTTTTAAATTTGGATTTATTTTTTGCTATATAGGAGAAAGGGCCAGTTGAAGTATAAACAAAATGATTCTAGGATTAAAGCTTTTAACTTAATTTAGTGGATTGAGTAAATCAGTTTGAATCAGTCTTAAATACCTACTATGTGTAAACAGTAGAAATTACTGTTGCTTATTTACATGGAAAATGATATTCACAGAGGTACCCAAACCCCAATTTGAAGACTTTATTAATTCATTCATTTGCTCACTTACTCTGTTAATAAATATTATTAACCACCGAGGTCTAGGTGCTAATGCAGAAAATAAGGCAAAGGTTTTGAGAGGAAATGATGTTCAGATCAGAAATAGCATATGGTTGCCTATGGCTAGGTGACTGGTCATCGCTCCTCCCCTAAGAGAAAGGAATGTGAGTAGGTGAGTACAGTGCACATCGGGTTCTGGATTCTTGGTACATTGAAGAGGATATTCCCATCGAAAACTTTTCACTGTAAGAAAGACATGTGGTGAAGTGACTGGAGGAAGTGTGAATCATTGTGTTGGCAAACTTCCTAGGCAAACATTGCTGAGTTTCTGGGCAGTTTCAGCCAACCGTTTGAGGTTTGGCATCATGAACTGAGGCAAAGCTTATATTGTACTATAGTTTCTGTAGTTGCTCGGCAATAAGCTTGGCGAAGGAGGTAGGTGGTTTGTTTAGTAGGTGTTGGTTTTGTCAGAGAGTTAGAATAAAGGGATAATTAGGGATTGGGAAGTTGGGGGGTCTTTGCAAGGGAAGATCAGGGTGATGATATATGATGTAAGGTAGACAGAGTATTTAACTGGGGAGTAGAAATCTTTTGAGCAAGTGAGCTGACAGGCTAGGAGGTAATAGTTGAAGAGCAGGATCTTTGGAATTTTTTTTCTAGGGCAGAGGTCAACACACTTTTTCTGTGAAGGGCCCGAGAGTAAATACTTCAGAGTTGAGCACTAAGAGGCAAAACCAAGGGTGTTTGAAATACTTCTATAATAAGAGACAAGACAGATTTCCACAAAATTTTGTATTGGTGAAATTCATAATACAGTGATTGAGTGTAGTTTTTTGTAATACAGTTCTGCTAATGAGAATAATGGACTTCCTTTTGGGGGAGTGATAACATTTCACTAACTGAGGTTCAGAATAGTGCTCTCTATTGTCAGTTGCAGATGTTGATCTCTTGATGATATTCTATAAGGAGATCTTACATATTTCATCTTGGGAAGTGTCTTCACACTGACAGGTGCTCTCAGGTCCAGCTAGCAGTCTGCCAGGTACTGTGATTGAGCATAATCATTACTCGGAAGGTGCTTACGGAATTCTTTTGGATTCTTCTCTTTTTTTTAAATTTAAATTCAATTTAATTAACATAGAGTGTATTATTAGTTTCAGAGGTAGAATTTAGTGATTCATCAGTTGCTTATAACACCTGGTGCTCATTCCAAGATTCTTCTCTTTATATTAGATTTTACACATGTTATGACTTTGCAGATTAATCACATACAGGTGATGGTGAGGTGGAAGCATGTCATTTACAGAGTTGCATGGATTTTGAAATATGTAAATTTTCTTTGCCCTTGCCATTGGGGTCCAAAGAATGCTGCTGGGACTGTCTGTAGTTTGAGTTCAGAAAATACATCCATTGCAAATTTGCATGGAAATAGAGATCTTTTTCTTGCTTTCACTTGTGACAGCATGGGGAGGGTCTAAAGCAGTTTGCGATTCAGATGATGTTAGTTGCTTCTTAAAGTCTAAGTGCTCATGGATTAGATGAGTTCTTAGTAAGAGTCCATTGTATTTCTGTAGCTATTTTTGGCGTCGCTCATTTCTGTATCCAGCATCCAGCATAATTATTGGCCCAGTGTGTCTGGAGGATGTGAACGGCACCCTGGAAACAGCCGTGGAATGGGTGACTCTGCAGTGTGCTCTTCTAACGCAGCTTTGTTTCCCCCATTCCTTCTGATTGCAGGTGAAGAGCGACTACATGTCCGAGATAGCTGACCGCGTGGACCAGGACATTGCTTTGAAGCTGGGCTGTCTAGAGATACGGTAAGGTGGTAACTAGGCATTGAGGACTTTGCTCATCAGCGGTGTTCATTAGTTTTGGAAATTATCCAAGTATTTTCCTTTTCCTCATAAAGATTGCTAATGAAATATTGAATAAAATTTGAGTAAAAATTTGAGATTTTGAATTAGGTTGTCAGTGCTACTTTTAGAAATCTTAGGATCTTTTAAAATGGTATTTCATTGTATTTGGAGTGGAATGATTGATGAGAGCGTGCAAATGTAGGTAGGTCTGAGAGTGCTCCCCAGTACTCTCCTGGGGTAATAGAAGTGTGCTGTGTCTGTGGGATCCCAGGTGTTAGCCGCTCGCCACCCCACCGGTGGGCTGAGGGATTAAATGTGCTCGTGCACATCGCTTAAATGGAAACATAAATAGCCGCATATGGTCAGTGGCAGCCGTGCTGCAGGGGTGAGGGAAATGGACCTCTGAGGCTATCGTTCTTGATTCTGGTAACATTTGTCACCGTGTGTCATGTATTCTATGCCACCATTTTAATTTTGAATAAAAGAGTATTTTACCTTTTTCAGGTGTGATTTCAATTAAAATTTACTTTAGGCTGCTAGTTTAAGATGAGTTGGTTAAACTAGCCAAAATTTGATGATGTGTGCTCAGAACAGTTAGTGAGAATTTCCCCCCAAGATCATTATTTTTTATACTGCATGAGGCTGTTACATACCAGTCCGTACAGGGACCCGAGGGTTGTTCAGCTCTTCCTTAAAACTTGTGTTCAGCCTTAGTTCTTTTTTCCAGTAACAGCAATCATCCCTCACTGGTCTCTTCGTGTTCCTCTCCCACCCCTGAGCCCTCACAGGTCTAGGCAGAAAGCATACTTGGGTGTCCCTTTCTCACTGCAGACAGTGCTGTACTGGGTTATGTGGGGCAAGGGTCAGAAAGCACCCGCTGTTGCACGAGTGGTGCTGGGACTCCCTGGGTTCTAGGTCACCTTCCTGCTCCTTCCCACTCTGGCCTCCCGTGCTGTGTTTATCCCTCGCCTCTGTGCCCCGTTCAGTGTTCTTGATTTCATTATGAAGTAATGCACTGCAGGAAAAGCCGGACAAATCAGCCTCCCCCTCCAGGCCCCTCCTTTACCTGCTCCCCTCCCCCCCGCATGAATAGAAAGCGAGAAAACCAACTAAGTGACCCTTTGGGGGTCCTTTGGAATTTTTCATCTAAGTCTAGTACTTTCATTTTAAGTAGGCCAAAGAAAAAGCCAAACAAATTTGAAAAGCAAAACCAGTACTTATATTATTATAGACAGGTTTGAAACAAAGTCTCATTCTCCTGTAACTTGACTTGAGATGATGCGTCATATCCCGAGTGCCCCAAAGCAGCTCAAGCCAGAGCTTAGCCCTTTGCAGGATACTGTGTATGTGCAGAGAGAATCCGACCCACGCGTGGCAGGTTCTGCAGAGAGAGGACCTGGCTCCAGTGAGACCTGGCTGCTTGAATGGGTAGTCTGGAGTAAGAGAATGAAGTTCAGACACTGAACATTCAGAATGGTAGACAGCATTTCCAGGCCGGAGTCTGGCCCCTCTGCCTGCAGAGCCTCCTCGGATCATTATGTCACATGTCAGTGCACTTCCCCTGGGTGACACGTGCGCCCCTGCGGGAGTCGGTGTGCTTGCTGCCTGCCTGGCCGTGGCAGGAGGCTGGTGTCCCTGTAGCCGTCCTGCTTGTGCGAGCAGTCTCTGACGGAGAGATGAGCACAGCAGCCGGTGGATGGAACTAACCTCCTTTACACCTGGAGTCTTGTCTCATCTTTACAGAGAGCCAGACCTGCTTCACATTAAAAGAGAAAGCAAGATCGTCCAATAGGACAAAGTCTGTGTTCACTGACCTCTGCCTCACTGGGGCATGGGAGTAAGGCCAGGGGTGAGATTCGGTCTTTATTAATAGCATATCAGGATGTTTGTGGCTGAGCCGCAAAGTAGTTACCGTTCAGCAGCGTAGACCCTCCTTATACGTGTGTGTAAATATATGTCTTCCCTGGTTTTAGGCGCTCGTACTGGGAGATGCGAGGCAACGCGCTAGAGAAGAAGTCCAACTATGAAGTGTTAGAGTAAGTATTACACGCCTACACTGTACCACACGCACCCAGAAATACGTCAGCCTTCAAACCGAGGGTTTTATTAGTTCACCTAAAGTTAAATTCAAAACCTGAAACACTACTGTTTCTAAAACAATTATTTCTGGAAGAAGGAAAGTTTTTGTAAGCAAAGAATTCCTAATGACAGTAACTGTGTGAGCAGAGATTTTAATTTGTTGACACATGTCTTTGGGCTGATAATGTTTACGGCGTGTCAGCACAGACTTCTATCTCTGTAGGTTTAATCATATTGGGGTGAAGTTTCACTTGTAGTTTGCAGCGAATTCAGAATTGCTGATTCAGTTATCACCTACATTCTCTATATACATTGTTGAAGGGTTTTTTCACAGGTGGAGCTATGTGAATTACTTGTTGCTCACGTAACAGGATATTTAGGATAACTGAAAAATTTTCGGATCTTGAAATTAATTTGTGTATTAGACTGTTATATTAGGTTGTATTAAATGCATAGAAGCCATGCTGGAGTTTATGTCTGGGGAGGCTTGAAGTTCTGTACTTCATCTTTTTTTTTTTTTTTTAAAGATTTTTATTTATTTATTTATTTGACAGAGAGAGACACAGCGAGAGAGGGAACACAAGCAGGGGGAGTGGGAGAGGGAGAAGTGGGCTTCCTGATGAGCAGGGAGCCCGATGCGGGGCCTGATCCCAGGACCCCGGGATCATGACCTGAGCCGAAGGCAGACGCTCAACGACTGAGCCACCCAGGCGCCCCTCTGTACTTCATCTTTTTGATAATTCATGCAGCAAAAGAGCGTTGATCTTTAAGTCCCAGTAAAGGTCCGTTTTAGTTTCATTAGGAATGGTGCCACATCTGGCCAACACTTACCTTTTCTGGCTGTATTATTACTGAAATCCTTGTGGTGTTTGGGAGATGTAAAATAAATGGGTAAAATAAAGTAAAAGGTTCTCTATCACTGCTCTGCTATGATAGCAACTTTAACTGGCTTCAGATTTTGCCTGGACGTTCTTGGATCCCAGCTGTGGCCACAGTGTGAAAGTTTACTGGCCCATCACTTTGAAAGCAAGATTCTGCAGGGGAGTTGTAGTCATTTAAACATAAAAGTAGAAATAACCATTTTTGCAAATTGGTTACAGCTCAGGTACAGCCATTGGGAATAATAACTGGTCATAAGAGATGTGATAGTTATTTTTCATAATGGACACGCGTCTCCTTTGTGCCCGGCTGTGAGGGGGGAGAGTGCCACCTGGGCCGTCTGTCCTGCTTGAGGCCCTGAGAGCCGGCCCACAGCCTGACCTCTGAACGTGACGTGTCCGCAGAGCCTAGCGTCCGTGAGCATGCACAGCACAGAGGACACCGTCCAGACACTGTGCCCGGCTTTATCTGAATGCCTCTGTCCATACGTTGTGCCCTTAACAGATTGGGAAGGGCAAAAAGGAGTTGGTTGGAGATGAATGAAAAATTTGAGATTAACCAGGATATCTTAGCAGGCAGAATTATTTTCAGTAGAGTGTTTCCTGGCCTTCGGTGGATGATGTAGAAGTAGTGAGACCATCGGTAACTGAAACAGGAAACAGCACTCACTGTGGTGGAGATTTCTGTTCACAACGGCCGCGTTCTTCAGCCTGCCAGACTCTCAATGCTTCAAGTACAAGTGGCTGGAATTGAGCAGATCATTGAAGATCTTGTCTGAGATGACGCTGGGTTTGTTCTCAGTTCAAGTGGAGGTTCACAAATAACAGGGATAGTTTTACCTGTTTGGCTATTTGGTCGATTATCTGTTCCTTTGTCCATTTATTTCTTTACTCATTAGTTCACTTAACAGACATTACTGAGCACGTGCTGAGCCATTGGCAGCCGAGTGCTGGATATTCAGAAATTAATAATACAAAATGTTCACCCTCAGGAAGCTTACAGCTAGCGGGGAGACTCAGATGAGTGAGCAGAATTGTAGAATAACATCCTAGGAGCTGAAGTAGAGGTGCCTGGGGGTGGGGGGTGTTGGGAGCGTGGGACTTGATGTCCGAGGTGGTTTCACGGGGAGATGTGGTCACCCCGAGTCTCGAAGAAGGCATGTGGGCAGGTGGGGGGAGCTGCCCGGGAGGAGGGATGAGACTTTGTGAAGGCACAGAGACACGGAAGGTCAGGTAGCAGCTAGAAAACTGCCAGTTCATTGTGAGGGCTGGGTCATTAACAGCCCACTGCTCTCTTCAGAAGCCTATGGTCCTTGCCCGTTGCTGATCCTGGGCCATCCTAAACAGGACAGTGGTGTGAGGAGATTTGCAATTTAGAACTCCATGTTCACGGGACTGGGATTTTATTAAAGAAGGTTCAAAAAGGGAATCAGGGAACCAGGACACCACGGTGTCCCTCCTGCCTACTCGAGGGGGAGCGAGGCTGTTTGTGGGCACGGCAGCGCTGGGAGCGAGCTGGGTGGAGGTGGCCGGAGCTGGGGTCTGTGTGCCAGCTGCCTGGTTAGACTTGGTTTTCTGTCCTGGGCCACTAGGGATACCGCTCGCAGGAAGAGTTTCTGTTGGAGGGGGAACCGGAGAAGTTGTTGGAGCATGTTGATTTTCAGTTCTGAGGGAACATGCATTTTTAAAAAAAATAGAAATGAAGGAGAAAAGTGGGTTTATTTCATATGCTATAAAATCACTCCTACGAGTAGCATTAAGATCTTCCATGGTCCCCAGTGCCTGGTTTCTAATGTCATTCATCAATAAAAGGAACCAGGGCTCCTTTGAAAAATGCCTGATGCTAGAAAGGTGGGGGGAGGGGGTACAGGAGGGGCCTGAGCTTCTTGGTGCCAGAAGGGAGGAAGCGTGCTCTGCCCACATGTTGCAAGAGCCAGCTGAAGTGCCTAAAGCTGGCATCATTTGAGCTACAAAATGAGCGACATAGTTTTATATCATAACCCAGATTATAAAGTAGATATCCATGAGTCCATACTCTTAGAAATGACTGAATACATGAGAAGTGACAAATCTCCCCTACAGAAGAATTATAAGTAATTTATGTAGATATGACCACAAAGGGGGCAGAGCGTAAAATCCCACCTTAAAGGATGAGCTATACTTGGTGACTTGTACAGGACAGTTTGGAAAGGGGTGTGGGGAGAAAGTCGGCTGGCGGTGAAGAAACCTGGCAGGCAACACCTGAGCTAGATGATCAAGGTCGGCATCAGCAGTGAAAGGCCATGCTGACGGCAGGTGCCCTTGGGAGGATCTGTTGAGAAGGGCACTCCACCTCTGTTGGCTTCCTCCCCTAAACCCATAACCCCAGTCTCATGCGAAACACAGATAATTCCCAGTCGAGGGACATTATACAAAATACCAAGCCAGTACACCTTAAAACTGTCAAGAAGGTAAAAAACATGGAGAATCTGAGAACCTCACATAGCCAAGAAGAGTCTGTGGAGTCATGGTAATTAAGTTGGATTCTGTAACCAAAAAAATGATGTAGAAGAAGTAATGAAATCTGAATTAAGTACAGACTCTGTTAATAATAGTAAGTCGGTGTTGATGTAGGAGTTGTGGTGTGCCACTGGTGATGGGAGCTGGGACAGGAGAGAGACCTGGGCCTGGGCCGTGCATGGGGCTCTGTGCTGTCTTTCCAACGTCTCTGTAAAACTGAGACTATTCTACAATAGTCTGTCTCAATTTAGAAATGATAAAGGAATGGAGGTGAAAAACCATCGGGTAGATAGGATGACGGTCTCAAGAGTTCAGTCTGTGGCGGACAGTTCCCTGAAGTCTGAGAAGGACCTGGATTATAAATCACCAGGCAGCCAGGGACAGGGTGCCGGAGCGCCTGCTCGCATCCTTCAGGTCAGCGTGAAAGCCCGTCCTGTTGCGGTGAACTATATCCTGCCCTGTCTCTGCGAGGCCCCAGTAGGAACTGTGGTGTCACCGGGTGAAGTGAGCCAGGCATACTGTAAATACTGTGAAAGGGACACAGAGTCAGAGGACAACAGGGGCCCAACTGAAATCCCCATGGATGATGCATTGACATGTCTGTGGCGGCAAGAACAGGCAGTTAAAAGAAAGAAAATGAAGAAGCAGGTATCCATCAAGGTGGGGTGGTGGATGGTGTATTTGGAGGCAGGAGTTTTCAGTTTAAGATCTGTTTGCAACAAGGAGCACCTGGCTGGCTCAGTTGGTAGAGCGTGCTGCTCTTGATCTCAGGGTCGTGAGTTTGAGCCCCACACTGGGTGTGGAGTCTACTTAAAAAAGAAAAAAAGAAAAAAGATCTGTTTGAAATGAAAGTCAAAGATTGCATCAGGATTGGTATATATTTGGCTTATTTCTAGAGATTACAGAAATTGAGGTGACGGGAGAGAAGGCGGGGGGCAGAGGACAGACCTGGGCACTAATGGGTGGGGGTCAGTAAAGTGGAGAATGTGGGGGTTGCTGTCCCCAAGTGAGGGCCTGTATCACGGGAGAAATGGGTGCAGCGTGGTGTCATCACAGGCCTTTTCAGGGGCTGTGGGTGAAAAGCAGAATTATCTGTAGTCTTGAGGCGGCTGTTCTGTATTCTTATGTAGGTATGCTATGTAAATCAGGCAGACATGATAGAGAAGGAAAAGAAGGGCAGGTTTAAGAGGCTTAGGTTCCAGGGCATGACTGTGCTGGGTTTACCCTGCCCGCTTTCTCCCTCCCTCTAGTGGTTCCGGGTAGCTGCAGGATGTGTGACTCCTCTGTCCTCTTGCAGCAGAGTGTCTGGTGCGGGTCCTGCCCCCACCGTATCCTGCCCTTGGTGTGGGCTTCCAGGGGTGTAGAGTGAGAGTGTTGCTGATGCCTGCCTCGGTGTGTGGAGTTGGGGAGACGAGCCGCCTCGAGGGCCAAACACAGTGCCGGCCCTGAGCAAACGTTTGCCCGTAATTACCATTGTGATCAGGATCCAGATGAGAGCTTGTCACGATGAAAACCAAACTTTGTAGAGTTACTTCACAGTGTTAGTAAGAAAACAGCGTACGAAAGAATGTCAGAGTTCA